CACACACACACACACACACACACACACACACACACACACACACACACACACACACACACACACACACTATTTACTTGTTTTCATTGAGTAATAGGTTATTATTACATTCTCATCCTTCATGTAGATAAAAACAGTGTTGCAGTTGTTTACTAAAGCATAAATTTAATACTAAGAGAAAAAGAAGAGATTTTCAGTTCATCACTGTTTATAATGTGTGAAATGGATTTGTCCAGGTGATAGTGTTAGTTAGGTTAGTTTTGTTTAGATTAAAGAGCATAATTGATCATATTTCAGTCAGTCTGATGCTGATTGTTGTCCAGCTTCTGTATTCAATCAAAGCAAAGTGTTTTTTTCTCTCTATAAGCCTCAAATCACCACAAAATCATTGATTTTACAATGTCCGTTTGTCACAACTTTCCTCCTCAGAGGTGGAAATTCTCACACTTTTTTCTGTATAAATTCTCACTTTTCCCGTTCTGCTTTAAACGTTTGTTCCTCAATTCTAACTTGTAGAAACTTGTAACTAAATAGCAGTTTCTGAGCGAATATGTCTTCAAATTGTTCACCTCAAATACTTATAACAGACCATTTAACCTCTGCTCTTTGTATGTGCGCATGGTTTATTTGATGGCAGGTAACCATGATGACAGCTATAACCTTTCACGCTACAACATTCGCCAACACCGAGTTGTTAAAAGCAGAAACTCACAAATATTCCCAAAAAAAAAAACTGGGTCACTCGGTTTTCTCCKCCAATACAAGGACGTATTTGAAGAGAAATCTAAAGAATAATTTGAAGTTATTYAGAAAACGATGGTCCAGCTGAAGGTGCTTTTTCACTCCGTGTCAAAAGGTGGAAAAGATTTAAGTTCAAAACAAAAATGAATATTTTTTCACTGAATTGTACCAGATTCCATACAAACGCAACACTGTTTGTGCTTCTTGCTGTTGAGCAGACAGTAAACAACATTAGTCTCTTAGAAAATAAATTGTCAATTAAGTCTTTTGAAAGACTTTTTATCCACCTTGCAAGTAAAATATGTGCAAATTCTAAGCTTGGGTCTCTGCAAACAATTTTAATTACAGCGTCTCAAAAAGTGGAGCTGAGGATGGAGGAAACTGAAACCAGAAAATCTGAATTCATTCAGTTAAATGGTTTAAAAACCAAATGTGCTGCAGAGCAGAAAATTTAGAGTAGAAACTAAAAGGTGTGTGTTAACTCACCTGCTGCCCCTTGGGTCAAAATGACCCATAAGGCTGTAAAACTGAGGCTTTGTGGGTCGTTTTGACCCAAGGGCAGTGGGAGGATTAATGGAGGTGAAAATGAGAGAATGAGCGGAGAGGAAAAACAAACCAAACAATATGATGACATGAACAAAGGAAAGTGATTACTGTGTATCCTGAATAGCTGATTTTAAATGAAGAGCAGGTCAGTGACAATCAGTGACTAAACCCAGGCGTGAAAATGCAGACAGGAAATAAATAATCTTTAATGAAAACCAGGTTTTAAGAATAAACTGTAAATAAAGAAGCTACGATTACAACAGGTAAAGAAAAAGTAAACTGTTTTTATGAGCTTTTGATTCAAAACCATCAAGTTTCTTTTTTTTATTTTATTTTCCTTTTATCTTTTTCAGATTGAGCATTTGTATGGGCTGACGGTGTTTGAAAACTATCTGTACGCCACCAACTCAGACAACGCCAACATGCAGCCAAAGACCAGCGTGATCAGGATCAACCGCTTCAACAGCACAGATTACCAGGTGGTGACCAGAGTGGACAAAGGAGGAGCGCTGCACGTCTACCACCAGAGACGGCAGCCTCCAGGTGGGTGGACCCTCACACCCGCACTAATTACAGATGCTCCATATTGACTTTTTGCAGATATTGTTCAACACTTAATTTCCGATTCTGATATTAAACGATATTACAAACCAATATTAAGGTGACATCACATATCTCCTGTCAGGGACAYTATGCCTGCTCTTTGATACCCCACTGGATGCGTTCCATAGGTAAACATTGTCTGTACAAAATAAAAACCATTTAACTGAAGTTAGAGAAAAGTGCGATATATTTTTAACAAATTGTCTCAAACAATAGTTTGGATCATGCTCTCCCTGAGATAATCCAGTTTGATTTAATCAATTGCGCACCGGTGAACGTCTCTGGACCACAAGCATTTATTAACACATTTTGCTCAAACCCAGCCGTTAATTCATCGGGCTTTTGTTATCAGAAAAATCAGTACCAATATGTAGAGATTTAACTTTTTAATGCTAATACCGGTTAGCCGATATTATCGAGCATCCCTAACACTAATCAATCATTTTAGCAGCACAGTGGCTCAGACCCGGGGTTTTTCTGTGCAAAGTTTGTATGTTCTCCTCGTGCTTGTGTGGGTTTTCTGCGGGTCCTCTGGTTTCCTCCCACAAAGCAAAAAACACGCTCAGTTGGTTCATCTGTAGATCTGTGAGCTCAGTGGGATTTGCCTGGTTGAATGAAGGTCAATGAAAAATAAATAAGTCGTCTGCAGTGTGAGGTGTTCCTAGCTCTGCCTCGGAGATTTCATTGTCCCTTTTGGTTTCCAGTGCGCAGCCATGCATGTGAAGAGGACCAGTTTGGGAAGCCCGGAGGCTGCTCTGACATCTGTCTCCTTGGTAACGGACACAAGACTCGAACGTGTCGCTGCCGTTCTGGATTTAGCCTGGGCAGTGATGGCAAGTCCTGCAAAAGTGAGTGTGACTGCTGTTTGGGAAAAGTTTTAAAATTTAAATACAAATAAAAAATACAAATTRTTCTCATTACTTATTGAACTGACTGTTTTACAATATGTATTTTTATTTAGCTGGTATCACTCTGTAGAAATCTGTTTTTACTTTGACACTAAATAAGTTGTTTTTTTTTGTAAAAAATATGTTTCTTTTGATCCTGATTGATTTATGACAGCCATAAGAAGATAAAACATCCAAGAGAGTGAATACTTTTAATCGTCACTGTAAACCTGAACAGTCTGACTTCAGAGTTGTCATTTTAGTTGTGCAAATTAAAACAGCCTCCTTCCACGGCTCAAACACGAGCTCAGATTGATTCGAGCCACACAGCTGGTGTTGATGATGTAAGTGAGTGTCTGAATAACAAGAATGTTGGAACGACATCACCGCCACGTCGACTCAGCAGATCCAGATCTGGTGTTCACATATTTAAAGCTGGGAGCCAGAGTGAGTCAACGTTCTTGACCCGAGGCCAGGAACAGTAAAGATCTGAGTTAGATCTCTCAGGGGTGAGGAAAAGCTAAGTCCAGACCCCAGGATCTGCAGCCTGATTCAGCTCGTTTTTATCTAACAATTAACAGCTTTATATCGATCTCCCTACTGAGGCTACATAATTGAACTACCTCACACTTCCTCTTTGTCTCAGTTAAAATATACTCTGTTTTCCTGTAGGGATGTAGCATTTCTTGGTGCTTGTTTTGTGAAGATGCGGTTTCTGAGTTGAGCCCTCGTTGTCCTGTTTTGCTGCAGAACCGGAGCACGAGCTCTTCCTGGTCTACGGTAAAGGCCGCCCGGGCGTCATCAGGGGCATGGATATGAACGCCAAGGTGCCGGACGAGTACATGATCCCCATCGAGAATCTGATGAACCCCAGAGCTCTGGACTTTCACGCCGCTAGCGAATTCATTTATTTCGCCGACGCCACCAGCTACATCATTGGTCGACAGAAGATTGATGGGACAGAGAGGGATACTATTCTGAAGGAAGGTAAAGCAATGGCAGATAATTATGGAGGGAAACTAATCCAACGGATTAGTTTAGGATGAAATATKTATTTATTTATTTAAGTAAATATTACATCTTGTATGCAATCCATGAAGAATAGTTTAATTTAATAAAGTGGATTAACAGCAAAGACAGCTGTCCTCCTTTGATATGTGAGTCAAACAGCCTTTCCTTTTCTCAGGGATTCACACAGTGGAAGGTATCGCTGTGGACTGGATGGCAGACAACTTGTACTGGACAGACGACGGGCCAAAGAAAACTATCAGCGTGGCTCGGCTGGAAAAGGCCTCCCAGACCCGCAAAACCCTGATCGAAGGGAAGATGACTCATCCTCGTGCCATTGTGGTGGATCCTCTTCACGGGTAAGGGTGGACAAAGAGGGGGCGGGATGGAGTTTGGTGATTTTTGTTCTGCAGAGAGGAAAATCAATCCCTGTAGCTGCAGTTATTTCATCTCCTGCTTGAATCCGGTGAAATGGATCGTGGTGTGCGTCTCTCACACGCACCAATCTGCAAAACCGTTTTTCTTTTTTAATTTGGTCGCATTACCTTTTTTTTTTTTTGTAAGGCACAACAAAGAGCCCTTTTATCATTTTCCGCTCAATGCTGGTGCCCTTTTTTGTATTTATCAAGACAAATGTTGCATTTTGTAAATTTTCTGTATAGATTTCCTCCAGCAGCAGATCCACACGCATACCTGTCGTTCACGGTTTCGTATAGCTTTAAATCTGTCTGTGCATGGATGTGTCTTATTGATGAGACCTCCCTGCTTCTTGTTTGAGAAACAGATTTTATACACCTACACACACACACACACACACACACACACACACACACACACACACA